CCAGAAGACCTCGACAGTAGGTGGTACCATTTCATTCCCTGGTTAATCTTGACAGTAGATTCCCAGAAGACCTCGACAGTAGGTGGTACCATTTCATTTCCTGGTTAATCTTGACAGTAGATTCCCAGGAGACCTTGACAGTAGGTAGTACTATTTCAGCATGGAATCTCGACAGCAGATTCCCTAGAAGTTCTTGACAATAGATACTTATACAAAAACATCCTTACATGAAGTTACCGGACTCGACATAGACTTCTCCGACTGATATCTTGGGATCATTACATTCAACACATACAGTAGAGCTTTAATTGGATTTTTCTCACCAAGTGCTTCACAACATATTCACAGACACTTTATGATTGTCAATCTTCCCCCGTGGAGTCTCGCTCTGTTGAGCCCGTTCTTCCCGTGTATCGTGTCTGGTTGTTCCCCTGTGACATCATTTCCTCACAGGACCCGTCTGTCTTGCATATCATCACATATCATTTGCATTCGGTGGTTTCTTATGGCCAAAAATTCGCGCAATGTTTGTATTTAAGTCCCTCCTATCTCGTCGAGACGGAAATTTCAATCTCCATATCTCCGAATAGGAGTAACTTAAATAGGGGCATCTGTTGCACCTTAATTTTTGACCGTAAGAGGCCACCTCTTTTTGCGTTTTCTATTAATATTTGACTTTATTTTAATATTTAATATTTATGTGACTAACCAATTTGTGCAGACGCGGTAATATCGAGTGGAGATAACGTTCATTCTCGCGATCAATCATCCGCATTACTAACTATCTTAACTGTTTTGTTTATTTTTGCTTTGTGAGGTGTTGCTCAAAATCATCAGTAGACTAATCCAAATGGTGAATGCAAATAGCAAGTTCAAAGTTCCTACATCGATTTGAGGGGGAGATCCCTAATCAGCAACCACAAAAACACCCTTCACAAGAATCCCCCAAAAATCCCAAATCAACAGAAAGATAACACTTATCTTTTTCAAAACTACTCCGTGAACCTCCGTTACCTCACCGTTAACACCTTTGACCTACACCAAATCACAAACAATACTCACAGTAAACACATATTCGAAACACGAAAGTCCCCTATCCGAAAACCCTAACACTACCAGAGCAGGAGAGAAGTTTCGAGTTTACCTCTACCCGTTTCCCGTCGTCGCAAAATCGTTTCGAAAGTGTCGGCATCAGGAATCATCGGCGAGCCACCATCGGGGGGTAATAATCGTCTCATGTTGACAATCTCTATTTGTGATTAACATTTATTTTGCAGGGTTAGTAGAGAATTGGAGAAACAGAGAAGGCATCGGCGAAGAACTGAGAAAGAAGAAAGAGAAGCCGAAGCGAAAGGAAGCCGAAGCGAGAGGAAGACGATCGAGAAGAAAGAGAACCGTCGGCGATGAGGAGAAATGGAGATTAGGGCTTTCGTTTCCCCCCAATTTTGTATTAGTGTAATCCTGTGAATGTGCACACACCGTATCACCATGCACCATCACACACCACCGCACGTCTCGCCTGATCACCAGATCAAGCAGTCCACCCGGCATTCCACCGTAAACCCTCCTAAGCTCGCGCACACCTAATCATACGCTCTCCCTAATTAACCCCTAATTAACCTCATTAAGCAACCGTTAATTGCCACCTTTTAACCTAATCATTAAGTTTTTAATTTAATTAATTCAGATTAGTGATTAAGCTTTCATTAATAAATAATTAAAACAGTTAGTAATAACTTAATCAGCCACCTATTTTATTTAATTAAACTGAATTAATAAATCTTTTTATTTTCTTTTAACTTAATATCTTATCAATCATCTAATCATTGGCCTAAATCAACTGTTTTTTATTAATCTAATAACCCTTTTGTGTAATTAATCATTTTTCTCTATTTAATTAACATTAATATTTTTATTAATTTTGCTATTAATCTAATTTATTAATTTTAATGTCATCAATTTAATCCTTTTTTAATATAATAATTGTTCATATTCTTAAAAAACACTTTTTATATTTTACATAAATAACCTTTTCCCATCTATAATAATAAAACTTTTTTCTTAACTATTTAATTTAATGTAATATAACTTTATTTACTTAATAGGACCTCTTTAAAAATAATCAGCTTAATAATTCCTAACCTTGATCTAATTTTTGCTAAAATAAAATCAATTCACACTACTTTTATCTAAAACTAATCCGATCATTTTCCTCAAATTAATACAACTAAAACGAGAGCAATGCTCCCTAACTCAATCTCTTCATAAAATCAATCCACAACAAAACTTAATCAATCGTGCACATTCACACCTCACGACACATGCACTTACACTCAGCGCTTTCATGCGTATACATTATTTATCTTTATCTGTTTTATCTTATGCACACACTCACCTAGCGCTTCCATACGTATGTGCATGATTTACTCTTCTGCAATTTATTCTATCGCATTTACATTATCATATTTATCTATTCATACATCGCATTCCGTCCAAAGGAAAAACCTACACATAATTCAACGTTATGTGTAGTTGCACATCATCTGCATCATTCTCCCCACGATCCTTGATCCCATTCAAGTTGATCGCTTAAGATTAGGACCTACCCCATAGGAAGGACCTTGTCTTTATCTTTTACAACTTAGACAAAACATAATCAAAACAATACAACTTTTTCAAACACATTTAGAGAATAGATGTTAATCATCTTAAGCGAGGTATAATCTCCACTCCCACAACAATACAATCAAACATGTAGGGACTTTGCCTTAAGAACAACAAAGGCATGCTTGGCGACCATCCGAGTATGTAAGACCTTTTCTTAAGATGATGCAAAGACCATTTCCTACAACCTCCTTTACATTTGTGGTGGTTATCTCTCCCTTAAAATGAAGACTCATCTCTTATCCTAAACCCAATCAACCAACTACCCTAAACCCGTAGGAACTTTGACCACAGTCAAAGAACTCCTCTAACCCTTTAGGGTGAACTACAACATACTCTGATTCCACTCCCGTAAGGATATGTAGGCATAAGATGCGACATCTTATCGAGTATACTTAGATATGAACCACTAGGGTCTCTAAGCCGTTAAGCAGATAAACACATAGCAATAAACAAATATAAAACAAGAGGTTCCTGTAGAGTACTACAGAAACTTAGGATGCTAGCACCTTCCCTAAGTTTAACCAACCCCCGAACCTATAACTCTCTAAACCTTGCATTTGCATTGCATAGCGGGAATTTCGATCTTTATCCCTTCCTTTGGACAAATCAAAGTTCGGTTGCAAAAATGAATTAAAGATTCAAACTAATCAATAGTTTGGTATCAGAATTTCACCGCGACAGGACCCAACGAGTCAGCACTTAGAGATGACCCAGTGAATCCGCGCTTAGCGCAGAAAAATCTCACTTAATGAATTCGCGCTTAGCAAGCGATGGTTGCACTTAGCGAGGATGACAATGCATAGTCAGATGTTTTCGAATTGACTTTTTGACTGGGTTTTGTTTTGGCGAATGCTTGAGTATTGTAAGGTATTGATTTGCATTATTTGGCACTGCTTGATGTTGATTGATGAGTTGGTGAATAAAAATTGATATGTTTTATGAGTTGTGCGAATACTTTTTGGATGTATAAGTGTAGTTCCTTTTAGATTGATCCTTTGGATTGACTGCATTTAGCCTTTACATTTTGGTGACAAATGACCCCACGATTGGTAACAGATAAAAAAAGATGAACTATCACCACCAATGGTACTGATTTGGCCTCGATCCTCACGACACTTGTGTACTCTAAAACATATTGCATATGGGTCGAAATTAAGGGCTACATAAAGAATCCTAAATGAAAAACATTTTTCGTCTACAAGAAAATCACGTAATGCGGGTGTTCCCAAGGAAAGCTACCCCACTTTCCACATCTCTAACCACAAAGTGGAGATCCAGTCGAAATTTGTCGGACGGTACATAAGAGCGGTCAAAAGGGTCAAATCCAATATGTAAGGACTTAGGGGAAACTATTCTTGACCAACCCAATAATAACCCAATTCGAGTGACATAGCCAAAGAACCCTCTAGAAAGAATACGAACATGTGGACTCTCTCTCTCTCTCTCTCTCTCTCTCTCTCTCTCTCACACACACACACACACACACACACACACACACACACACACACACGCGCGCACGCACGCACGCAAGCACGCACGCGCACACACACACACACAGATATCACACCATTTTCAACATGTTTGCTCAATACCCAACATTAGATCTAATCAGATGGCCACATATGCTTTACGAAAGGTCAAGCACGAGCGGTTTTAACTGATCGTGGTATATAAGCCTTGCCACATGCCATAAACACATACATTCATTCACTCTACAAAGTTACACTTCTCTGACCTCACTAACTTGAGCGTTAAAGTGTTAATCTTGCAGGTATCTCTCTCCACAACAATTTATACTCATTTAACTTAATTAGTACTCTTTTTGTCTCACAATGAGCGATCCACTTGACTATTTCATACCAATTAAAAAAATAAAAATAAGTAAAAGAGAGAGAATAATATTTTTATTAAAATACTCCTTATCAAATATTGAGAATGATAAAAGTGTTGAAAAAAATATATTTAAAATTAAAATGATTCATTTATTTTGAATTTTTTTTTAAATTTTAAATAGATAACTCATTATTGGGAGTTCATCCTAGATAAACTATTCCTTCCACCCTAACCCTATAGGTAATTTTGACTAGACTTATAAGTCAACCTGGCTTACTTGATCTGTGAGTGAAATGCAATAAGGACAATCACACATAGTAAACTGAGTCGATGACTTTTCTTTTGGTGGGCCTGTAAACTAGCACGTCTTTTTCTGTTATCAAGATTATTCATTCATCAACTAACTCTCCCATCTTTCTCTTTCTTCACTCACAACACTTGTCATTTTCATATCTCAAACCCCACCCATCTATCCAATTTCAACAAATTCTCGTTCTGCAATGTCAAACAACCAAGAGACATTTGCATTGAAGGACAAGTTACGTGGACTTGTTAATACCATTGTTGAAGGCGATGATTTCAATCTGCATGCTGCTGATGAAGCCATCACTACACTTTCTGTTCTCAGGGACCTGAAATCCAGTGCTTCTTTCTCAAGTAAATTCGATCGTTTATCTCCTCCTGTCCCTCCGCAGTTTCGATGCCCTATCTCAGGTCTCATTATGACTGATCCTGTTATCTTGGCCAATGGACAGGTTATTTCTTGATTTCTTTTGTTTCTTTCTAGTTTCCTCGCTTTTCATGGATCTTAGTGTTCGAAAATAGGTAGTTTTGGAAATGTAACTGTTACTGGATTGAGTAGTAGTACTAATAGTATGTTATTTTGATCCCGTGATTTTAAATTGCGGTTGCAATCATGATCCTGCCTAGAATTGTAGGTAAATGTGATTGATTCGCGGCCTTAGCTGTGATCAAGTTATGGTTGCATAGCATTAAAAAATATGACGTCGCAGTCCATATTGTTGAGAGTTAGTTATTGTGATCGTTTGGGGTGGGAGGGGTAGCTCAACTGGCTTGAAACAGTTGAGTTGAGGGTTAAAAGTAGTTGCGATCCTTTGGAGAAATGCGGATAAATGTGACTAATGCGACCACGATCCGGCAAAAAAACCATCATGTTGTGATGGTATTACACTGTTATTTTATGTTAATTATGATTGTTATATTACTTGATTTAATGTATTGATGATGCAGACTTATGATAGACCATTCATTCAGAACTGGCTGAATGAAGTCCATAGAGAATGCCCTCAAACTCAGCATGTTCTCTCTCACTCCATTCTTTCTCCTAATTATTTGGTTCAAGACATGATTTCAAGGTGGTGTAAGGAGCATGGAGTTGAGCTACCAATGCCTGTTGGGGAACTTGACAATCGAGAACCAACCGAAGCGCATAAGTACCGTTTACGGTCATTGCTTCACAAACTGTCATTATCTGCATTGGATAAAAAAGAAGCTGCGAGAGAGCTTCGGCTTTTAGCTAAGCAAATACCTCCGTTTCGAACACTCTTTGGTGACTCAGAAGTGATTAAAAAATTGCTTAGTCCGATATCACAAGGCGTGGCTTGTATAGACCCGGAACTCCATGAAGACTTGATCACAGCGGTTCTCAATCTCTCAATCGACGATAACAATAAGAGAGTTTTCGTAGAGGATGAAAAGGTTATCAGCTTTATTGTCGATTCATTGAAATCAGGAACTGTTCAAACAAGAAGCAATGCAGCAGCAGCAATTTTTTCATTATCAGCACTTGATATCAACAAACAAATCATTGGAAAAACCAGTGCGATTAAATATTTGGTTGATCTTTTAGAAAAGGGACATCCATCATCAATGAAAGACGCTGCTTCGGCTCTATTCAATCTATGTATTGCACATGAAAATAAAGCGAAAACAGTTCGAGAAGGCGTGGTTCAGGTTATTCTCAGCAAGATCTTCGTGGACCGGTTTCTAGTAGACGAGTTTTTGGCCTTATTGGCACTTCTATCTAGCCATACCAAGGCTGTTGCGGCATTGGGAAGTCACGGCGCTGTCCCTTTCTTTATGGACATTTTAAGAGATAGCAGCATTTCGGATCGCAGCAAAGAGAATTGCGTTGCAATCTTGAACATAATAGTTTTCAGTGATAAAACAAAGAGGAAGGAAATTAGAGATGATGAAATATCCAATGGTACATTGGCTAAGCTTGCAGAATGTGGAACTTCAAGAGCAAAGAGGAAAGCTTCTGGTATTCTTGATAGGCTCAAGTTTGCTCAATCCTCAAAGCACACCACTTAAAGGTCTATCTGTAAAAATACTTATATGAGAAGCTGTTAAGAAAATCTCCAATTTTAAGGGTATATAGCAAACAAATTCTTAATGAAATTAGGACTAGAAAATTATAATCATCTCTTTTTGTAAATGATTTTCTTCTGTTTTGTAGTTTACCTTAAAAAAGTACAGAAACCTTACATATTGTGTATATTTCAGGCAACTGTATGATAGTGTGTTTACTTGTAGAACATTAATAAAATTAGAACCGCGATACAATTATACGAGAAAAATGTTAAGTAATTTATTAAAATATGTAACAATTTTAAATGATCAATACATTAGATTAGATGCAGGTTAGCAAGACCAGAAATACGAAACAAGAAGCATCATTCTTCCAATATCGGCAACAGTTGTTGCCCTACGAAAATTCACAGTTGTTTTTCACTCTAGTCCTTGAATCAAAGGTGAATAAATTAATTATACATATGAATCCTACTAAACAAAATAATAGATTTAAAGGATGCTTGAATTTTCAAGTTTGAGTTTCTATAAGAAATTCCGCATATTGGTTAAATGGTAAAACTTCTGCTGCATGACACAGCAGAAAAATGCAAAGCGCCATGCCAAAGTATGTGCATGCCTGTTCTTTAACATTGCAAGTAGCAACCAATGCATGATCACAAATGTAAAACACTTTATACTCTCTTCATCGCCGATCTGATTCACTGCTACTCATACGATCGATCGGTTCCCTCATCATCAGATTCCCTGGCTAAACGCATGCTCTCTTCTGTCCTTCTGCTACCTTTAATATCCGAGTGAACACTGCCACTTCCTCTGCTGCTGCTGCGATCAGACATACTGCTGCATGTATATTGGCTTGAGGCAGTTCTATGAGACGAAATCATGCTTCTATCTTCCGGTTCCGCGCGACTAGAAACTTTAGCAGATGATTTTCCGGTGCTCTTATGGTTTAAACCTTTGGTGGAAGATTTTTTACTGCTTTTTTGGCATAGTTCTTTGATTGAATTTTTTTTGCTGCTCTTCTGGGCTATTTCTCTGATAGAAGATTTTTTTGAGCTGTTTGACTTTTGGCTTAAATTACCAACAAAGTTTTTCCACTTTTTACTGGTTTTGCCACGAGAAGAAGCACTTCCCTCTGCTGAATTTGCACTAGTAGTTTCCTTCCTTGATCTTGTGCTGCTTTTTCGGCTCGATTTCTTCGAAGTTGCCCTTTTCTGAGGTTGGCTTAAATCATCATTTGCTGCAACATGATTTTGAGCAGTTTTACCGTCATATTCCTGGTCAGCGTCTTCATCATCTGAAGTTTCTCCTTCTGTTTCACTCTCACTTTCATATTCGCTTTCAGTAGCAGTACTAGGCCTAGAGACTGAGGTGGCAGCGGAAATTGAGGGTGGTGGAAAAGGTTCCGTTGGAGCCGTCGATAGAAAACTCAGAGCGGTTACAACGTCACCGATCAAAGGACGGGCTTCTGGCTCCTCTTGTAAGCACATTGCGACTATCGCAACTGCTTGATTAAGATCCTTTTCTGGAAAATGTTTCTTGAGAAGTGGATCCGCCATATCTGGATACTTTTTCGGGTCCCTGAATAAGGGTTGTGCCTGCAAAACCGCAAAACCAGAAAACCAAACATAACACAAAGTTACATTACATCACAAATTCACAATAGCTCATATATAAGTCTATCACCATAAAACATAAAACATAAAACACAAAACATGTTATGTATTATCCATTATATTGGAAATTTACCCATGAAACTAGATTTTGCTCTTCGTTAGGCTTTGTGGTATCAACGGCACGTCGACCAGTGATAAGTTCAAGCAAGACAACTCCAAAACTGTATACATCAGATTTCATGGAAACTTGACCTGTTCTTGTATATTCAGGAGCACAATAACCATATGTACCCATAACTCTTGGAGGTGCATTGTTCATCTTGTCTCCACCACAAAGCTTGGCCATTCCAAAATCATATAGTTTTGCATTATTAAGATTATTAGATTCAGTACCCAACAAGATATTGACTGCTTTCAAGTCACGGAATATAACTGGTGGATTGGTACTATCATGCAAGTATTCTAGTCCTTTAGATGCACCTGCTGCTATTTTCATTCTGTCAAACCAATTCAACGGCGGTTCATCCGTTTTATTCCCTGCCACCAAAAATACACAAGTGCTATATTAATCATTTTATATCGAAATCGACAAAATGACTCAGATTCTTAATCATCAAAACTATGATAGGACAAGGAAAATTACCAAGAAGACGGTCTTCAAGAGTACAGGCAGGATAGTATTCGTATACCAAAAGACGTTGCTCACCATCGGCGCAATAACCAATGAGATTAACAAGATTTTCATGTTGAACATGACTCAGCAGAGAAACTTCATACATAAAATCCTTGCTGTTTTCTGTCCCATGCCTGTCGAGTTGCTTCACGGCCACGGCCTGAATCAAGGTTTCAAACAAACAAACTATAAACAAACAAAAAAATAAAAAGTAAAGATAAAAATCATTGAGAGGCTTATTTTTTTTACCTGTCCAGTTGCAGGAATAACCCCTTTATAGACTCTTCCAAAGCCTCCTTCAGCAAGAAGACATTCCTGTCGGAAATTCTTTGTCGCTGTCGCTAGCTCACGAAAAGTGAAATTTTGCGCGTTAACATTCGTCCCGTCTCCTTGCATATGCTCATCTCCCTTTTGTTTCTTCATATCTGCATGTCAACAAAATAACAACATTATGCATGCATGTCAACATAATACATTCCTTGCATGCATGGAATGTTTCTATTAAAGGATCCGCGAACGCCATCTAGAATTCAACATCATTTTCTTAAACGTCTACGCGACCACGATTCGTGGTCACGTAAACTATATCTGATCAGGATTGTCTACAATATAAAAATATCGTGACTCGCACAGATTCAAAACCATGCATGCATATATGCATGTAACATTATTACCGGGTGCTTTTGATGCAGAAGTAACTTCCTGCGGTGTTGTAGAACCATGCTCCCTCTTACTATTACTTTGCTTATTTTTTTGAGGGCCGCAACACGGAAAGCAGTTCATGCTTTCCGGGTCCAGAATAAGTTAAATAAACAAACCTTCAAGAAAAGGCTTATATATATTTAACAAAAATTCTGAAAATTTAACGTTGCTGTCATATGTTAAAAACAATGACAGAAAAAAACAAAGATGATGAAGAAACTAAAAAAAAGGGACGAAGGGTCCCTCAAATGATAGCATTAAATGAAGAACCCCCCAGAGGAGGGAGCAGAAGCAGCAGGAGTGGCAAAGAGATTAACAGGGAAATATGAAAACAAGAGAAGGAATTAGCCATGGTTGACAACAATGGAGAAAATGATCATTTCCTCATAACTCTCCGAGAGAAAAGGAGGATATATGAGTGGACTTCATTATGAGATGGTTACCAAAATTTGTGGAATTCTAAATCCTGTTTTTGGAGATTGAATTAGCTGTTATATGTCTTTTTTCTTCTTTTTACAGGCCATTTTTAGATGCCATCCAGCCATTTTCTTACTTTTCATTACCTTAATTTGTTTGGTTAATTAAGTTTTTTTTCTTCTTTTTTATACGTGTACCTTTTATGTCATGTTTATCTAAATTGTGATTTCTAAGTGATAATTAGCCTAGCTAACATATCACTATTAAACAATAAAATGACGTTCTTTCATTTTAATGTGAATCTTTATAAAATTTTAAACTGTATTGATAATTATCTTTCATCATCCGTTTGTATAATTTTATAAGTTTTTAAAATAAAAATCAAAGTTCTTCTAATATTTAACGACTATGATTCGCTGATAGTTAGATTGTCACTACATTTTAATTAAATTTTAATCTTTTTTAGTATATATATATATATATATATTCTACTTGGTGAATGTAGTTGTTGACCATATTTTTTATTCTATTCAAAATGCATGATGAGGGTCAAATTTTTCTCATTTAGCCTTAAGAGATTATATTAGACTCTTTGTTAAAGCATCAAAGTAACAAGTTATTCTTCTCTAAAAATAATAATAATAAGAAGAAGTTATTCACTTGCTAAGATATTAAAGAGTTTTTTGGACTCAATTATTGATTGGGTGTTAAGAGTGTAAATTTTGTAGATTTATCTGTGCGTTCAACTGTTTTCCGCGAGTAGTCTTTTATTTATTTATTTAATTGAATAATTTTTGTAAATAATTATTTTATGTAGTTTACGACGTGTTTAGCTGATGTTGGTATTTGTATGAATTGTGTTTAATTAATTATTTTTGATAGAATTTAATTAATTAATTAAAAAGAAAATTGAGAGAATAGTAAGAACTGAGCCGAATATTAAAATAGTAGAAAATAGATAGTTAGTAGAGAGAACTTATATTTTAATTGGACTATAATTGAATTAAGAGAAATTTAATTAGGTTGCATTATATATTTAAAGAATGAAAACATTTTGTCAGTAATGTGAAAAAAAGAATAAGGAGAGCAAGGGTATTGGAGAAATAGAACTTTGGGAGAGGGCACCTTAGAAGTGTTTGCTTGTACTTTTATTGATCTTACAAGATAAGGAAGGAGGGGAAAATTATTCATCTACGAATGTCTTAATCATGAAAGGCTAGAGATGTTACTATCATGCAATGGAAGAATGCATTTTTTCTATGTTACAGGGATGGCAGGCGTCACTGTCATGCGTGTAAAAGAATTAACGCGCGTCAATGAATGTGTTGAGTGTGTGACAACCATGTGGAGTGATGACGGGAAGGTCGTCATCTCCCTGGCGACCTTCATGATCTGGCAATGGACCGCGTTGGTCTAGGCGATCATGTTTAACGCCTCAAAATTGGTTTTTTGTGTCGATTATGATATTAATGATGTTTTGTTGTTGTTGTTGTTGTTGTTGTTGTTTGATAGTATTGAATGTTTTGAGTAATATAATCGATGTGCTCTGAATGTGACCCATTGTGTGAATAACCGATTGTTGATAATTGATATTATGCATATATGAATACTACCTTAGGTCCTTAATATAAAATTTTACTTTTTAGATTCTTTTAGAACAAGATTTTTTCATGACATATATTTCTTGGGTTTACTTTCAAGATTTAGCTTCTGGTGATCATCCAGAGTTAGTAATAAAGCTGAAGCTATCTGTACTGCAGAAAGCAAGTTGTATTGTCAAATCAGTTTGTCATCTAGAGTGTTAGTTCACAAGGCTCAAGAAAATTTGGCATGCTTTACGAATATCTACTCTCAACGGCTCTATAGTACAGGATCTCTTTGAAGACTAAATGATTAAACACGATACACAATGGATCAAGATCTTTTGGTGTATCTATATTCAACGTCTCTTGTACTATGGAGAAAGCAAAGACACTTTATCAAGTTATCTCTCCAACAATTAGTCTTCTGCAAAGGCTATATAAGTAGCTGAAGTTTCAAACTGAAATTTTAATAAGGATCAACCTGATGGAGGAGTAATAAGATCAGCAATTATCAACACAATTGGTTATGTATAATTTCTGTTGTAGGTTGTAATTGTAAAAGCCTTAAGATTTCTTAAACATTGAATATATTAGAAATCTTAAGAGCTTTAGGTCTTTGTTATGGTGATTTCCATGTCCCTCTGATATTTGTATCAAGTACACCTTGTTCTCTATTCTGTTGAACATGTTGCTTAGCAGTTTAGATTAAAGTCTCTCACCAAGATGCTTAAGCCATGTAAGTCTCATGTTATGTGTTAGAGCATTGAAAGTATTAATCAAGTGGATTGATTGAGAAAAATTCTTGGGTTTGTGGAACCTGAGTAAGGAAGTCTCAGATCGAGAGTCTCGGCAGAAGTCTTGAGCCTGAGGGGCTTAAGAAGGAAAGTCTTAGATTACGGTCTAAGCAGGAAGTCTTGAACTTGAATGGTTTAAGTAGAAGTCTTGAGCCTGAAGGGGTTAAGCAGGAAAGTATAGGCTGCAGTCTAAGCAGGAAGTCTTGAACCTAAGGGGTTTAACCAGGAAGTCTTGGGTCAGAGGGGCTTGAGCTGGAAGTATCGGGTCTGAAGGACCTAAGCATGAAAGTCTTAGGCTGAGGGTCTAAGTAAGGAGGTCTTGAGTCTGTAGAACTTAAGCAAGGAAGTCTTTAATCTGTAGGACTTGAGCAAGAAAGTCTTGAGCCTTAAGGGTTTAAGAAAGAAGTCTCGAACTTAGGGTCTGAGCATGGTAAAAGTCTTATGCAAAATGCATAAGCGATTGTAATCATGATTTGGTTATAGTGAAAATCTTTTAAGAAGAAAGGGAACTGGACTACTCTCATTTGGGAGGAACCAGTATAAACCTTTGTGTCTTCTGCTATTATTTGTTTGTTTCTGTTAACATTCCGCTGCTAAGTATAATTAGAATCTGAACACCAATTTAGGTTTTGAAATCTTATCAGACGCAAATTAAGAAAATGGAAAATACAAGTCAACCCCCTTCTTGTGTTATCACCTTCAATTGGTATCAGAGCATGGTCAGTACATAATACTTAATAGTGGTGCAGATAATGATCCAATGAGAAAATTATATCTATTAAAGACTTTCCTTCAAGAAGGAATCAAGTGCCACATGAAAAATATTACATTGCTTTTCCTACCATATTCAAAGGGTGAATCTACTGAATTTAAATGATGGAAAAGTTAAATATATTTTTAATTCATTGGACTTGATAAAGGATTTTTAAAGGTCTGTAGAATACCCTTGAAAAAGGTATTACTATAGAAGTTTATGGTGTATGGATGATCAAAGTTTGAAAGTCTCTCTGATCTGCTCAGAAGAAGCTTAATGAAAATTTCTTCAGAGGTAGATGCACTCTGGTAGGTGCTCTATCTCGATTAAAGTATATCAACATCATTTATATGTCTAATGCTCAAACTATCTTTGAATCCTTGTGATCAAATTTGTGGGAATCCGTTATGAAGCTCGTCCAGTTACACTTCATCTAATCTTTCCAAGCAAATTCTGAGAAGATTGTTGTGAACTCAAACGTGAGGTCACAGTTATTCAAGAAGTCATACAACTTGAGCTTACTATGGATTGTAGGTATATCTTGAAATCTTCAAAGAAAATAAATGGAATTAGATTATGACAAGCTATCTAACAGATTATCTTTTCTAAAACCTGGTAAAGGATACTTCATATGGAATGTATTATGATGAGGAATTAATCTTCCTAATCATAAAATTTCTTTAACTGGATGAATGGAACGTGACATCTGTTGTTAGAAGAGTAACTTACGAAGATTTTGAGATATTTGTATTTCAATTGATTTTCTAAATCCAAAAACAAGGAGAAACACTACCAGAATCTAACGTCAGAGATCTTCATTGTATATTCATTTGAAGATGACATTAGTATAGGATTTAAAAGAAAGAGTAATTTGGCTCTGTCGGTCATTACTGCTTCTGAAGAAGTATCTGAAACCTGAAATAAAAATCAAGTATTAAAGAGAAAGAGATTATGCCAAATTTATCTTGCTTCAATATTTGATAATAAGGAGTCTATTCTTTAAGTTGATATCTTAAGTGACTCCATTGCTCCTTGATTGAGGGTCATCCTGGAATTTTTATTAAAGGACAATTCTATGAGAAACCTTCAATTCTTCTTTGTGTTCTGCCAACAATTATATGACATTGCTTTAATTTGTTTTATGCCAATCTCTGATAGCTATCACCATATGGTTCTTTGCTTATCAAATATTTCAAATTCAAAAGATTTAATTTAAGATAATGAAATCAATGATTCTGGTAAGAACAAGATCTTGTTCGTATCATGACTCATCCTAGACTGATACTCTGGAATGAATCATGGTACTGCTATCAATATGTGGCATAAGGAAAAGGAAAGCCTGTCTGGACCAACATGTATGGACTCATAGAAGTATGAGTATCATTATTTAAAATGCAGTTGTTGCAGATATCTAAGAAAGGAGCAAAGACATCTTCCATGTTGCTTATCAAAGATTGTTTGCAACATTTGATGAAAGAAGAACCTACAACCCAGACTCAAGTGCTAGAGGTACTGAGTTTGGTGAAAGAAAGT